TTTTTTTTTTTTTTTTTTTTTTTTTTTTTTTTTTTTTTTTTTTTTAGAACTGGGACATTGAGTGCAATCTCTTGGGAATACAAAGATAGGTTGAAACATAAACTTTGATACGTTTTAAAAAAATGAAAGAGTGCTGCTTTAATCTGTCTAGAGTTATTACTTAAAACTGGAGAGAATCAGAGAGATTTTTAAGTCAGGGGAAAATTAATGACATTAGATTTAATTCTTCATTTTATAAAAACTTAAAATATTAAAATGTTAAATAATCGTGGGAAATAATAGAATACTATAACATGTAAATGAACATTAAAATATATTAAGTAAAAATATTTCAAGTTTGGATCCCAAGAATCACAATTACAGACTAGAATCCCTAATTTGGCAAAACCAAAGCGACATTCAAAATAGAAATTTTTTTTGAGACAGCTGTGCCCTCTGGAGGTGGCACTTGGGAATTGAATAAATCTTCACTAAACGCATAACAATGACTTGCCCTGAGATTTGAACTTGCACTTGGAAACGCAAAGAAGGCTTAGAAGGTTTCATTCATGTTCCTTTCTTCGTGTCAAACCAGTTTTCAATGAATACTAATTTAGAATTTCAATTTAGAAGTGTTCAAATGGGTGCAAAACATTTTGGTAGAAGGGGCTGAAAGCCTGTGTTCGATATCTGGAATACAATGATTAGGGACCTGCTGAATATTATGAAAAGAAAGAGTAGTTCCAAACCAAGTATCCTCAAAAGCTCTTTTGGTAAACTGCATGAAAGCTGATGGCCTACCTTCTTTATACCATATTTTCCAACACTTCCGGAGGCAACCAAATCACCTAGACTAGCAAATGCATTTGTCCTATCTTCTCAGAAGAAATTCACCACTTGCCCTTTATTTTTCTTTAACCTGTTTTTTAACATATCATTTCTAATACATGCAGCTAAATTTTCCCACCTATTAGGGAATATATTATTCCAGTGGGAGAAGTAAAAGATAAGTATATCTTGTTTTAGAAATAGAAATTAATAAAGTTGGTTTTGCATTTGGAATTTCAGTAGACAAAAAATATATAAATAAGTGAAGAATATAATTATGGGGAGAGGGGATCAAGAACAAAACATCCTCAAAATTAGTCCTTATTTGATGTGAAGCAAGAACAAAGCCACCACTTTTAAAGAGAGAATGAAGACATCTTCTTGATTGTAAATTTGCTTTGCATGTGGGTGAATGTTGTGTTTTTTTGTTTTTTTGTTTTTTTAAGTAAAGTGGGGAAGAAACTAAAAGAATTGAAATCGGCTGGAGCACGGGGAGAGAGTATAATTACTATCAGTCAGGTGTAGGAGAATACACCCAAATATCAGTGGGATGTGCTTCTTTAAGTAAACAGTTCCCTGGTGCGCGCTCAGCGCGTGGCCTGGGTTGCCAGGCGAGGCTGCAACCGAAGGTTCAGAAAAAAACGAAGAACAGATGATCTTCCCGCTTCCGGGTACATGCATCACAGGTTCTGGCCGTAGGACTAAGGGCAACCTCACTCCCCAACCCCATTTCCTGCCTTCTCCCCAGAGGGAAGTCAAGGACCCAGAGTTACTAGAACCTGGCCCTTGCCAGCTTCCGGCTGCCTCTGGTTTCAAAGACCCGGGCAATTCTTAATTCTTAAAGTTCCCGCCCCTTGGCTGCGCCCCTTCTCCCTAAAGTGCTCCCCCACCCCCAACGCCGATTCCAGGACTACGCCCCTGAAACTCACAGGTGATATCCAGGTGCCACTGAGGGAACGGCTCAGCACCCCAAATGTGGAGCAAACACGTAAGGACAGGCATGCAGTCAGAGGCCGACGCCGGCAGCCCACGCCGGGCTTCCCGCCTTCCCTGGGCCGCGCGCGCACCGGTGCGTCCGCTCGCGGGGCCGCTGCGCCGCCGCAGCGCCGACAGAGGGCGCCCGCGGTGAGGCTCGCAGCCCCAGGTCCCGCAGGCCGCCGGCCTGGTCTAACGCCCGTGCCCACGTGGAGCCAGTGTGGACTAATGGACAAGGAAAACGGGCTTCGGCAGTCAGGGACTAGTTTCTTAAGTTCTCTGAACCTCGGGCTCTTCATCTAAGAAAATGGTGATAACACTGATATCTAAGTCAGTTATGACTGTATATTCATTCATTTATTCATTTATCCAGGGCAGAGCACAGCCTTCCCTATGTTAACAGCTCCATGAGTTTGATGAATAAATGAAGAGATTGAATAGACCATGGCCTGAAATCCTGGAGGAAGGTGGAAGTAATGGAAGGGGCAAACTCTGCCACTAATGAGGAAAATACTGCTGAGACTTCTGGGAAGGGCCTTGCATCTTTAAGGGACTGACCACTTTCCCAAGAAAAAAATGCAACCTCTTCCACTAAAAGAGGTGGCCTGCTCAGGGACCTCCCTCCAGCCCAGAACCTTCTCATTAAAAACACCTAATAGCACTTTGGGAGTTAGCTGTCCCCTACCCTTTTCGTAGGTGTATTTAGGTTTCAGTGATTTCAGGGGCCCCAAAAAAGCTTTCTTTCAGAGTTCCTCCTCAAAGGAACTGATCCGAGATAACTTACATCACTGAAGGGAGTCACGTCTTTGTAAAAATAAATCCTAGACAAATGGAAATGCTCTTCTCAATGTGTTTGTTTGGTCGGTTGGTTGGTTGGGTTGTTTTAGGTGTTTTAAGGTATTAACTCCCTCTGATCAGGAACAGAGTCTGTTTCCTTTTTGGCCTAGGCCTACTGAGACTAATTTTTATCTTTTAAATGAATTTCAGGAAGACGTAGTAGTCTTCCATTGTTATGTAAAATATTATCACAAACTTAGCAGCTTAAAGCATTTATTATCCCACAGTTTCCGTGGATTGGGCATTCGGGCAATGGATTCTCTGCTCAGGGTCTCACATGGCTGAGCTAAGGATGTTGGCTGGCTGCATCTTCACTGAGAGGCTCCTCGAGGGAAATACCCACTTTCAAGCTCCCTCCGGTTGTTGGCAGAATTGTTTTCGTTGTGGTTGTACAACTGAGGTCCCCAATGTCTTGCTAGCTATTAACCAAGACCCACGGTCAGCTCCTAGAGGCTACTTTCACAGACTCTCTCATATGTCCCTTCTCTCTTTTAAAACTCTCCTGATTAGATCAGGCCCACTCAGATAATCTCTTTTTTGATGAATTTGAAGTCTACTGAATAGGAACCTAATAATGGGAGTGAGATCCCATTCTATTCACAGGGGAGGGGATTTTACAGGTATCTTAGTTCAGACTGCTGTAATAAATACCATAGACCGGGAGGCTTAAACATTTATTTCTCACAGTTCTGGAAGCTGGGAAGTCCATGATGAAGATGCTGGTTGATTCAGTTCCTAGTGAAAGCTCACTTTCTGGTTTGCAGATGGATGCTTTTTTGCTCTACCCTCACATGGCAGAGAGAGGGTACATCTCTCCCCTGTCTCTTTTTATAAAATGCACCAATCCCATCATTGGGGCTCCACCCTCATGACCTATATTACCTCCCAAAGGCTTCACCTCCTAATACCATCACATTGAGGATCAAGACTTCGACATGTGCATTTTGGCGGAACACAAACATTCGGTCCATTGCAACAGAACACATATACCGGGAGTGAGAAGCTTGTGAATCATCTTAGAATTCTGCCTACCACAGAAGAAAATAGAGAAAAATAAACAAGGAGAATATAAAGCTATAGGAATGCGCTAATTTACAGACATCAGACTCCCACCTAAAATAACTAATGTCTATAAGGCCAAGGGGACCTCTGGGATACAAAAGACCCCCTCCCTTTCTCTGAGCTCAAGTCCTCAGCCCTCTCCAACCTCCACAGTCCCATCCTCTGCCTCCTGTATGAACAGGAATGAGAGCCAATGCTGGAGATCAGAGGATACAGGGCATTTACTGAATGCCAGGGCCGTAGGGAAGAAAGGCACTGACACTCATCCCATGGTGCCTCTGGCCTGGCAACAAGGCATCAATTAGAAGTAGAGGGATCAGGAAGACTTACCTGGGTTCAGAGTCCAGCTCTGCCACTTTCTTACCTTGTCACTCTCAGCCTAGTTACTGAATCTGTATTTCTGCAACTGTAAATTGAAAATAATAAGACTTCCCTCGGGGTTGTTGTAAACATTGAATGAGAGTGCTTAACACAGCACCTGTATGGTAAGAGTAAGATAATTGGAAAAATATAACAACTACCTAGGAAGCAGCTGAGAGAAGGAGTTGCTATTTCTCATAGTGTCTACTGTGTGCCCGGAATGGTGCTGGGAATTACAGGATTTACAGGCATCCATAAAGCATAATGTCTAACCTTAAGACATACACAATCTAGTTGAAAGACAAGGCAATTTACCCAACAAACGGGTGCACTTTCATGGAGAGAGAGACTGTAAGCACAAGAGTCCTCTTTCTCAAGGAGGTCTTTCACCCAGGACCTTCAAGCACTTGGCCTTCCCAGATGTTTGAGCCTAGGCTTCAAAGGTCTGTCACTTCAGCAGCTGGCCTTTCCATGACCATAACCCACATGGTGGCTGGATATAAGTTCCCAGAAGCATCACAGAGAGAGAGAGACCTCAGTTAGTGACACCCAGAATGCTCAGCCGACAATCGGGGGGTTCCATTTACTTCTACCAAGTAAGAGTAAGTATCAAATGAGACTGCGTTAAAGGAACTGCCTTAAAGGCACCTGTGAATGGTGCTGTATTATTTTCCTACAGCTGCTGTAACAAATGACCACAAACTTAGTGGCTTTAAACAACACACATTTATTCTCTTACAGTTCTAGAGGTCAGATGTCCGAAATCAGTTTCACTGGGCTAAAATCAAGGTTTCAGGAGGGCTGCATTCCTTCTGCAAGCTCTGGGGAAGAATCGATTTCTTCGCCTTTTCCAGTTGCCTGCATTGCTTGGTTTGTGGACCCACATCACTTTGACCTCTGCCTCCATCATCACATCTCCTTCTCTGACTTTTATACTCCTGCCTCCCTTTTATAAGGATCCTTGTGATTACATTGGGCCCACCTGGATAATCCAGGACACTCTTCCTGTCTCAAGATCCTCAACTTAATCCATCTGCAAAGTCTCTTTTACCATGTAAGAGAACAGAGTCACAGGTTTGGGGGATTAGAATGTGGAGATTTTGAGAAGCCATTATTTTATTACCACGGGTACCTATTTCCCTGAATAAACTGACTGTGAGTATATTTTCCCCTCCCTAAATAATTCAAAAAAAAAAAACTACTCATCTCTCTAGACCATTTACCTGATCTAGCCTACAAACAACTTGAGGATTAAGCGTATTTTTATTAAAATAAGTTTGTTGAAGCTTAGTGAGAAAAAGATACTGTGTTCGCAACATCACAAGAGAATAATCGATCGTTATCTACTTTAAAATGCAACAGATTAGACACCATTTAATAAGATTTGAAAACAGAACCTATATTTTAGTAATGTTCTAGTATTCTTCATTTGAATGTTTGCAAACTGTGATGATCGCTAACACCCACGTCTCCCCTACCCTCTTTCAAACTATTCTTTAGATTGACTTGATAGCGTACTTTTTTTTTTCGACAGTTCAGTGACAGGCACAAATTACTTCACTGTTACCATGGTAACCAAGGGACCTCCAACCAGAGGAAAAAATTAAGATTAAAATAAAAGGGAGAAGAAATTATCCAAATTGGCATTAATGAGTCATTGTCCGAGTGTAATCAGGTGTCAACTGGGCAAGCTTTGGGAGTTTTTCCAGTAAGGACCCCTGAATCAGTCAGCCAGCTGGGGAAGTCACCCGTGTGAACAAGAATGCTTGTCTCCTGCAAGAAGTGATGGTTTAAAGTTTAGAGAACCTTCTACTCTCCCTTTACTTATGCATCTCTTTTATTTGGATCGTCTTTGTTTTTCATCTCCTCCTGCTCTTCCTCTTCCGAACACGTTAGTTACTATGGAAACATTGGTGTGAATATCAGAAAGCTCTTCTCAGAAAGGCTTCATAAAGTCAATTTAAAGAATGGTCTGACATTTATCTCATGTTTGGAAATTTAAAAAATTTGTGATATTCATGACCATGGACAGGGTTGGGTGGTAAACACTGTCTATATATAGATTTTAAAATTTGTTTTATTAACCTGGAGCATATGAAGGCCACTAGGCAGAGAGACTGAAAGCTTTGGAACAAAAAGCATATGAAAGATTAAGCGAAAACCAGCCAAATGGCATTGTTTGAACCTTGAATATAGCAGTGTCCAAAATCTGCTAGACTTTTCAATGACTAAATCAATAAGTCACTGCCTCTTTTTTTTTTTTTTTTTTAATCTGAACACATTTGAGCTGGCTTACAACAAACAGAAAAAGGCCTAATGGAGAAAACATGAAGCGTCTTTGTCCTTTGAGGACAGACGCTGCATCTTATTCACCTTGTTCATAGATAAGTAAACATTCCCTTATCTGAGATTCCAAAATTCATAAACTTCTGAAAACCAAAAGTCCCTTTGTAGATCATTTGGTGACAAAACAGATATGACCCGCATGTACATAAGGTTACTCATAGTCCTTAATTAGCCCACAATGTGAATATTCCTTTATTTTGCTAAGGAACAACTAATGTGTGTGATTACCATTTGCCACTACAGACCCTGCCAGAAGTATCAGACTATGTAGAGAATATAAACTCTTATCTTTATTAAATCAAAAAATTATAAGTTCTGAAGCCCCAAGGGTTTCGGATAAAAGACCGTGGACTCTAAGTCAAAGGATAAACTGAATGAATAAATTGATTGAATAAAAAAGAGCTTAATCTGTGAATAGGATGGGATCTGAGGAAGCTAACGATATTGTTGAGAACCATGAGATGAAA